CAAGATTCACTCATGCACTCTGGAACTGACTTAGGAAAGCTAGCCTTAGCCCAAAAATAAAGGAAGGCAGCCGAGCCGAAAGCCCTACAAAGAATATCGCTTATGAACAGGCCCAGGGGTTGTCAGTTGAGAAGGAAGTCTTTATTGAATTGATCATAGAAAAAAAAGGATAGAAATGGAATCAATTGTTTAAGTCGGAAGATCAGATGTTTTGAGTGGAGAATCGGGTTCTACTAAGCAGAAAAGCCTTCTCTAATCTAACGGGTCGATTCGAAATGGGAATGGAGTTTGAGGCTAGTGGAGCAAGCATGAATAATAAAAGGAAAAAGCCAAAATGAGTGGAAAGAAATTCAAAGCAAAGCCACCACCACCGAATAGAACCGAAGAGTAATATCCTGTCCTTCCCTACCTACTGTATTCAAGCGAACAAGTGTGTTAAGCGAATCACTTTCCTCCAGTGGTACGCACTACATGAAATCAATGCCCAGACAACTATGTGCGTAATCTATATATCTATCGTTATTGATTTCTTTCGCGTATGGAGTGTTAGGGTATTGCAAAGCTTCTCACCGGAATAAACTCGATATTAAGCACAAGAGACGCTTGGGCCTATTACAGACAGGCTCGCAAGCTTAACACGATGATAAGGTTCCCCACTTAACCCGAGTTTTCGGGTAGAGTAGTGGTCGCCATGCGCCCATCGGTTATAGCCGCTCGCTAGTTGGGGGCAGGAGACAGCCTTTAAGATAAAGAAGGTCTACTGGCCCGGTACGATGTGGTTTTGTTGGATTTCTCCGTCCGCGTACTTTCACTGGCCCTTTGAATCGATCATGAAATACTCCCCCATAAAGAGAAGGTTATCCGCTGTTTAATCTCGAAATCTGAACTTTTACAACCACCAACAGGAAGACAAGTCAGTCAGTATGAAAAAAAAAGTATTTTTCTAGTCAAGTTCCAGCTCTAGATAGGGAAGGACGACGAAAAGCACGAGTTTACTTTGAGGTAAAAAAGCCGACGGTGCCTAATCTCCTCGGATATCATCGGCCATCGTTCTCATCGATGCAATGACCAGACATGTCACACCATCCCTCGCTGCCCTAACTCACCAGTCCCTAGCATCTACCTAAGTGGTATCCTATCACGGAGGCTAGTAAGTAGGCTTTTCTCATATTTGTCACTCTCCACCCAGTATATCCTTCGATGGAAGGGGTACTATCCAATTGTAAGTAGCTTGATTACTGTCTGGCCTTTATCCCTTGCTCATAAAAAATGGATATGGGAAAGGTTGGTGAAAGTGTAAACTAGTGACCTCGAAAGGTAGGTGGGCCATATCCAGTCCAGAATGCATTTGACTGACTGCATTGGTACCGAAACATATGATCAGGCCGTCTGGGGTATATGATATGACAGGTGGTTGTACTAATGATTGGTAGGTGGGACTGATACCTAACTCGCGTATCTATCCTTGTGGAGGGCCCTCATTCAATGATCAGATATGTCCATGGGATTAGGTATGAAATGGGCCATACCAACTTGTTGCTTGAACAAGTCCTAGTAGTAGGGCTCCTCATATGGTTAGTGTCCCTGACCCGTAGCGTAGATTTTTGAATGGGATTGGGAATATATTTTAGTATTAACCGAATTTCGGAGGGGGTTCCAATTCATATCCGAGCGTTGGTGCACTTCCCATCTGTTCCCGGGCTTTGACGTAAGGCCTGTAGACCGAGCCTCATATCCCTGACTTCAGAGTCCTACGGTCTTCTTTCTTCTCCCTAATTCTCCGTGAGAACGAATCTTAACCCTTGCTTGGTCTTTTTCTTCCTCCTGACTCTCACTTGGAAGCAAGAGATGAAGACGTATGCCTTCCTTATGATCGATCACCCTTTCCCGATGGTCCAGTCAGTTTTTCTTTCTTCACTTCCTTTCTGTTGCTGCTAGGATAGATGCGGAAATCAGCCTTATTAAAGAAGAGAAGATAAATCTTATAGAAAGTGGTTTCCAAGTAATAGTAGAGATTTCACTTCGCTTTCTCGTATAGTTTCTAGAAGCTGCTCGATCCCCTTCCCGAAAAGATATTCCTTCGAGCTTCAAATTATCTAAGTCAAAGCTTATGGTTGCTTATAGGCAGTAGCTAAGCGCGCTGCATCGCCTTCTTCTTCCATTGAAGGAGTGTGAACTGTTCAAGACACCCGATAATAAAAATGAAAGGAACAAGAACAATAAAAAAAACAAAAATTACGCACCTACTAGAACAACCGGGATCCATTCATAAAAGATCAATATCAATATAAGATCAGTTGTATCTTCTACGACCTGACATTCTTCCAACAATCTCTTCCACAAGAGTGCTCTAATGGCAAAGAGCCGTATCCACTTAAAACTCGGAATTACTTACTTATCATACACACCTAGCCCGGGGCACTTTCAGCCGGTGGTAGGGGTCCCTAACTTGGTTGGAGCTTAGGCCACTAGAACGCGTCTTTAATCTAGTTCAGGAAGGAAGTCTGGCACTCATCTCAGTCTCAGGGACATGCCCAGAAGAAACAGCTGGTGTCAGGTTTTCGGGAATTGAATCAGGATTGTCTTGTACCAGAACTGATTGCACTAGGAGAAGAAAGCCAGTTGTTTATTCCCATTCCCTTTAAGTCAGGGATTCGTTTAAAGCCTTTCGCTAGCATTGCAACAGAATAGAAGAAATGGCATCCATCAGATTCATTAGCTACGGACGCATAGGAATTCTTTCTTACTGTAGCCACACAGAAAAAAAATTAGATTTTATAGACGAGGTGGTAATCAAGTAGCAATTAACTTTTAAACCTCTTTCTTCTTTATCGCGGGCCCTAAAGAAGATCCTTGCCCTTGTTCGATAGAATAATCTGGAGCGGATTTCCGATAGTTGCCAAGTCGAAACCCATAGTATACATCCAAAAAGGAGAGTTCTTTCAGAGCGGGCCAGGGAATCTAAATCTAAGTAAATCATAGAATCGATTCCCGTTGAAGTTTGACGAGAGATATAGGTAGTATATATAGGTTATGATTTCTTCACTCACGCGAGATTGCTAGGGAAGAAAAGCGAGAACTCGAATGCTTCTCCTATTCTCGATAGATGAGACTGAGAAGTAGATCCAACCTAGTCTAGTAGTAAGCAATCTGCCAAAAGCAAGGTTTTTCTTCCTAATCCTAATCTCGTAGTATACAGGCTTATTCTTTAATAGCGGCACATACAATACGTGTCAGAAGCCTTAAATCTGATGTGATTTACCCCGGTTACTAACTGAAAGCGGCTCTTCGTTAGTGGTCGTCGCTCGAACGAATCAAATAATTTCTGCGCTTCGTCTTTAACACTGGAGGGAAAGCCGCCGATTGACACTACTTCTTACTTTTTTTTCCTTCTAACCCGTTCTCTAGGATCTAGACTCAATGGCTTACAGATACAAGGCGGGGGAATGACTCAATGGTTTTAACTTGCCTTACCCATACCCTTCCCAGACTCTATCTACTGGGACTGACTTCTTGGCTTACTGCAACGCTTACTGTATCTTTAACTGAAACTTCTTTGAAAGGTCCCTAGAAGGGATTGGAATAAAGGCCAGGCAGGTTTGTTTAACAGTCTTTTTCTTATCAATCGGCGAGGCCTCGCTAAAGCTCCGCTTCTTTAACTTGAAACTCTCTGACATTAGAGAGTGCCCAGTTCTCTCCGCTTCTCCTTTCAGTCTAGATTAGCCTGTTGATGTTGAGGCTATCTTATCACCTGTAAGGATCTTCTTACTTGATAGAGTTGCTAAGACCTCAGTATGCTTGTATGTCTTATCACTCCCCTCGATCTGCCACCAGCCAATAAGAGACAGAAGAGAGAGCGCACCCGACAAAGCGGATAGGAGAGGTCTTTCTATCTACGACTCACTCTTGGTCTCGAAAATTCATTTGACTTGGTTCACTCCGTTCGTAGACTCTATCGACCCTGGAATGGGCAGACGTACAAGCACCAGTCTGGTACTCTTCGCGTGGCTCGGTAAGCGAAAACTTCCGGAATGCAAGGCATATCTAGCTTTCACTCAACTATATGATACTAGTTGGTATCAGCACATGAAGGCTATAGCAAAAACTCTTATTCATCATCAACAGGATAGGACCAGAGCTTCTATTTACTCAACAACTCTTACTGTAACAGAAATAGCACCGCTTGCTTATTCAAGACCGCCACTTCTATAACACCAACTGCAGATACCGTACCTTCATGTACAACTTTCTTCTTTCACAACTCTTTCCTCCTAACGCTGGTAAGACACTTTATTATCCCGAACTATATGGCGTAGTGTATTCACTTAGACTCAATTGAAACCGAGCTTTTGTGGGCTGGGCCTTTCCCTTACAGGCTTTCTTTCTAATGAAAGGGCCTAAGACTCAGGGGCGTGCGTGGGTCAGTTTAGTTTGGTCCTAGCTTATCGTTAGGGTACTAAAATAAAACGCTTGAAAGCCAATGGGAATAGGCTAGCCCGCACTTGAAATTAAAAGGCTTCTATAACAGGGGCATTACGGGATTGAGAGCAATTGGTACGATAAGACCTGCAAGAAGGCCCCGAGCTACATATCTATCGCGGCTAAACATCACTGGAACGGAGCGGAGTCACTCGACTTAGAAGATGGGATTGAGCTCTACTTCTTATTCTTAATACGAGAGGAGGGTCACTGGCTGATAGGTGGAAGTATTCAAGATAACTATAGAGCGGAATGCTTGGAGCGAGCCGAGTGCTTTCCTTTTAGCCGTGTAACTTGGCCTATTGGTCTACTGGTCTATTAGTCCTTGTTCTCTTTTTGTTATCCGCATTGGAGCTAGAAAGGGCTACTTGTAGGACTTGTACCGATCTGTATTTAGCCAGCTCTTTAGCTCTGCTTGGGTCTATTGGTCTAGTGCTATTCGGTTAAATGTCCTTTGTTTGTTGTCCCGTCGTTCAAGGTCGAGGGCATAACTTTGGGTTAGAGCTCGAGGGTTATATCCAATGAATGAAGGGCACCGATGCCACCAATCCCCTTTCATCTTAGGGGCGACTCTATGCCTTCCCGGCTTGGCTTGCTTTCTTGGCCCAGACAATTTATCTTTACTTGGCTCAGTCTCTTTGAACCTCTACCTAGAGCATCTTCGAATCTTGTTGAATTGGTCTACCCCATTACCTTATTGTTTAGTTAGAACCGGAATCCCTATACCTAAAGCTACTTATTCAGATTCTGTTATTAAACCTGAGCCTTCTGAAGAGTCCATGTCCCTTTAGCCGGTGGAGCTGGTTCTAACCTCTTCTTTCGCTTACTGCTTTAGGAATATCAAGATTAGTCCACTACTAGAGAAAGATCCCTTGTCTTTGGCGCTTAGTCTTCAAGTTCTTCTTCAATGTCAATTGTAACTTACTCCAATGCATTCTTTCACTCCCGTTCCTATCTTATTATACCGGAACATCCTCTGCGCCGTTCCCTGGATATGCCATTTCCGCCTAACCCTAATCTCTTTCTTGACTGAGCTGCATTTCCAATCCGTTTAGTCGGTCTCGTACCCAAGTGTATATCCCTTCTTTGTTTACGTAACACTCTTGATCTTGAAACCAGAGAATAAGCTGACTGCTCTAAGTCGATCTATTATTATCTTTCCCTCCAAACCTTCCTAGTCGAGCTTCCACCGCCCCTAAAGAAAGAGATGGGAGCACATCCGTAACTCAACGTTACGACTTACGGGCACTCATCTCATGGATACCCCTTCTTTTCTTGAGCCAGAGTTGGGCTTTTGCGGCATCTAGTTCAGTATCAGATAGAGCAGATAGTTTAGTCCCTTGGAAAATAAGGTTGACTTCTCTGTCACTTCCGTACTTCTGTAACTTATCTTTAGCTTATTAATTGAATTGGTTAGAAAGTCTTTCCCTGGTATTGGCTAGAAGAGAGGGATTAGTCCCCCTCCAACACTGACTTCTTAGTCGAGTAGTTATCTTTCTTCTTAGCTTCGGTTTTATCGAAACTGGCTACTCCTTATGATATGCCACCTAAACCCCCGATCTAAGAGCATTTGAGAACATCTCCGGCATTGTCGAGGGAAACTCATATAACCGGAATGATTGGCCTTCATGCCTATCCCCATCGATCAGAACTGGCAACAAATCTTTCAGCGGATGTAGCAGCGGATCAATATCCGCTGTGTTCAACTCCTGCTACTAGGTCAACTCCAAACCAACGTTCGGGAAGGGAAGCCAAACTACTTCTTGAACTAAACAAATTATTCCTTTTCATTGATTGACTAATGCCCCGCCCCTCGGTTGAAAGATAATCTTTTACCGCTGGATCAGTTGCAAAAGAATTATTCCTATTATAGATCACTGCCATCTCACGAATTGGATTTGAACCAATATCTCCGGGCGACTTTCCTTTTAGTCGATCGTGAGTGGGTCTGTCGTACTCCTCATTATAGTCCTCCTAAAATCAATAGCATTTCGTCGGAAAACATCCTGTCTTTTTACCTGAGTAGTCCTATGCATAGTAAGTACTATAGCCCCAATCATGGCAACTAATAAAATGAGACTCGAAACCAAAAACCAGACGAAATAGTAGGTATAAAGTAAATTGCCCAATGTTTCCAAATTAGTCCAACTTCGTACCTTTCCGGCATAAACCGTATATCTAAGAGAGGTCGTATTTCTTTGGGTTGGTAGTAATGGAATGGTTTCATTATCCAAACTGAAGAACATTTCCCACCAAAGCATCAGTCCAATAATACCACTCACTGGTAAATAGAGAAATACTTCTTCGTGAATCTCCGCTATTTGAATATGGAACATCATAACAATGAATAGGAATGAAACGGATATAGCTCCTATATGAACTACTGGGAAGATCATAGCGGAGAAGTCGAGACCTAACAAAATAAGTAAACCTGAAGTGTCACGAAAGACTGGGATGGGAAACAAAATGGAATGTACCGGATTTTTAGCACGTGCAACCATCAAACCAGAGACCAAAGCGGGGCTCGACAAAACAGAAAGTATCATGGTACCCTTAGTCCAAAAAGCCTTCCATCCATCCACTCAAAAGGGGCCATAACCTCTCGTCCTGGTATGCGCTACTACCAAGCACTGAAATGCCCGGTCTAAGTCCTAGGTGGGGAAAGCATCTGTTCTAACCACTTTTTCGAGGGTTTCCAAATTCAAGGTGCATATCTCTCTGATCCGGCTGTCTGGTCTTAATTGTGTCCTCACCAGGGATCTCCTCTTTCTAAGATTCAAGCAGCTTATTGCTCTTCTCCCGTATCCTTCCGCCACTGGCTCAACGAATTCTAGTCATTTGTTCGGAACCAAGTGTGGACTCGTTCCTAACGCCATAACAATCATATTCCTTTATTTATCCTCGTACAAGCAATCTACCCCTATGTTTGTCTGTACAAATAGCCCTAACATTGTGTTCTAAGCGCCAATCTCGATTCTCCTCGCAGTTCTCCCTTTAACCTCTAATCAAAAGTCTAGCTGTCTGCCTATTTGTCGTACTAGGGGCTATATTATTACCATAAATAAATCTTCTTTTTTTTTTCAGAAATCAATCTCATGTCTCCATCTATCTCCTCGCAGTGTCCTTTCTACCCTCAAACCTGACGGCTCGGTCAGTTCACCTCTTAGTAGGACTTGTGATTGGGCAATTAAGGTCTAATAGCCGCTACTGGAAGTTCTTTGTCCTTTCAGCAAGTCTCCGGGTATTCCGCGTCCCAATGGGCTCTATCTCACCACCTCCTCCGTACTGCCAGTCGCGTAGGAGTAGTCTGGGAACCTTCAAAAACCTTCCCCGATTGACATGAGTCACGGTAGGCCTACCGTGACTCATGTCCCTAAAATGTTCAGATTCCACTTCTTGCGTACGTTTCCAATTTATTGGCACTGGTTGGTCTCCTTCTATATCCGCTTCCTTTAGTCTTCGCCTTTAGATAAGATAACAAAAAGTGTCAGTTTATTTAGGCATCTTAACTATTCAAAAGCTTCCTTCTCCTTGTTATGGTTACGATAATCTTAGGGGTCAAGATTCATGGCGTACGTCCGTATAATCCATGCTCAAGCTTCCATTCCTTCTTTAGGAGGGTGGAAATTGAAGTCTCGAATACAGATTCCAATCGTCCAGGCAAGCATGCATCTTAGGCGCCCCTTGTAAAAAAAAAACGTACCGAATGAGTCACGAACCGTCGGAAGCGCCTTTCTTTCTATGCCTTCCTTCTTCTTTTGATTCTTTCTTCTTTCTGTTCACCTGAGCGGAGTCTTTACTTGCTTTCGAGCGCTTGGTCTAGCCTATTTGTTTGCTGTTAGAAGGGAAGCCTGAGCACAGTAGCAGGTAAAGAGAGAGGGATTGCTCGACAGGGAAGACGGGAGAATATCCAAATCAAAGATAGGCACTCGACTCTATATACAAGAAAATAGTGAACTAAGGGGATCACAACGGCGAAGGGGGCCAATCGAGGAGACTGAAGGAGATGGATGCAGTGATTCGGAAGTAGCGAATCATCTTCTTTGCAGTTTTTCTGGGGAGTGGCTATCAAGCTAGCCAAAAATTACATTATTCGGCTATTCATATATATTTGTATAGAAAGTTGACTTCTTTCATTCAAGTAAGATAGTTGATCGAGAAAGGTCCTCTTCCACTGAGAAACTAAGGAGCGAAAGCGATGTGCTCCGATGAAAGCCTTGCGGGTCTAACGCGACCCTTTACTCAATGAATAGGAAATATGACCACACACAATGACGAATCCCCGCGATCTGGGGCATGAAGCAGTTGGCTCTCATTGGGAATTCTCCATAGCATGACTAGTTAAAGCAATCAAATTGATTGAGACAAGCAAGCCTCAATCCCGGGTTCCCCATGACGAATCAATTGTGTCGGGCGAAAGAAAAGGCCGGGGCAGGAATGCGGTAGGCGGTGGTCCTATGAATGGGTTGACTAAGATAATAGAAAGTCTACGGTTAGTTCCAACAATATCTAACAAAGACCGTAATTACATACATAACATAGTCATAGTGGAAACTATCAAAACGAGTAAGCTAGGTTGCCTATGCCTAAAGCCTGTCTACTCCTAACAAGTCTAAAGATAGAAGTGACTTTATAATAGTATGGCTGGAATCAGGTTCTCCTATGCGGAGGGAGGGCTGGATTTACGCCTTTTTTTAGTTATCTCAAGAAGTTACCGTCAAAGAGAGAGCCATGGCTGCTCACACATTGTTAGAGCGGGAAGGGTTTATATTAATTTCGCGTTGCATGAACCTGGTTGTTTGGCTATTAGATTCGCACAGACAGGCAGCAAAGAAAGGGCTTCTAGCCTACTAGTTAAGTAACAACAGTTGTGGTTTCTTAGAATCATCCTCAGAGGGAGCCCATTACAGCACCGGGATACATAACATAAAGGCAAATCATTGTAAAGTCTTATCGTCAGGTTTGAGACTAAGATTCGAGCATTTAATCGACAGAATTTGCATTTAAAGCCGATGATGGTGTAAATGATTCATAACTAATCTTCCCTTCATCGCTGTAAGTGGAATGCCCTTAAATTATTCCATAAATAGGGACTCGAAATCTAATACAGCCATTAGGAGAGATCCCGACATAAGATGCCAACGTCGGGCATTCAAATTAACTAGTCTTCTTCGCTACAAGTCTGATTCCTATTGCTTCTAGCCCCATTACATACCTTTGATAGCCATTTAAAATCTATCTATTTGAGACCAAATCCTATGACCACATTCTCCTTTGAGTTCCGATCTGACATTCATTCAGAAAGCGAAGAACTTACTTATTAATCTATAACTGTAGAGTTCTAAATCTCGGATTTGATTTGAACCAACGCTCATCAACGGATCACGACGTGAACTGTCAGCCGAGCTACCACCGAGCTACCGATACGGGAGGGAGGGACTGATTGATACATGGAAGCCTATAAAATCAAGTGAGTCCGCTCATAAGAACAGTAAGTCCCTCTTAGTCTCACCATGTGCCCTTATTATGGAAGCTATGATTTCTTTCTCATATTCGACCATGTTTGGACGTTGTGTAAGATGAAACTTCTTCTTTCTATAGATAGATAAGGGAATGAATGTAGCTCGTGACGAACCTACTGAAACAGCCCTAGACCCAGGTGCTAACTAGTGAGACACCTTTCCCGAAACTATAACTACTCCTAACCCGGCTGAATCCGGGGTAATCCTGACTGCGCCAAAGACTACAACGGCCTTTTCTTACTCATCCATCTACCTTGAGACTGCACTGT